TCAAGTGTTAAGGAACTATCTTGCAAAAATATGTGTAATAGCTAGTATCAAGTACCTTCATTTAACTTCTAATATTTTGTTAGAATCTGTTTTGAGCCAGCTGATCCTGTGAGCCTAGAGGAAGACAGGGTAGCCCAGTGAGGGGATTAGGCAGAAAAAAATGCAAGTTATTCAAACAAGCTGGCATGAAGTTGACTGCCAGGCTTCTGTGTGGATGCTACTGAACAGTGTGTTTTATGTTTAACAACAAGTCAAATCGATGCTTCCAAGAAGTCCTATCAAATCCGTAGTGAGGTAGCCAGGTCTGGAGGTATCTGGATACTACTTGCATTTAAAAAATCACGTGGGACCTTAGGAGAGCACAGGCAGGAAGCTCTGTTTCCTTCGTTAGCGTTAGGGATGTTCTGACGTGGAACAAAGTCAACAGGAGAAGATCATTTTGGCAGGACAGCGCTTTCTATGCCTTCTCTTTCGATGGTAACCTTGGTGTCTCTAACAAATTGCACTTCAGTTGGCGTCATATCTTTAGAGGGAGCCCGCCCGCTTATTGCTGTGTGCTGGCTGCTCCTAGGAGACCTGCACTAGAACGCTAGAAGAGTTGCTGGGAGAAGCTGACAGTGAGAACTAGGTAAAGCTGTTGGAAGAATAAAGGAAGCTGCAGTGGGCTGAGTGAAGAATAAGGAGGAGAGAGTTGAGGAGACTGAGAAGGGAATTCAGAGGCTTAACTTCAGCCTAGTTTCCTTAGGCTCTGTTTAATCAATAGAGTAAGGAGTAAGAGAAAGGCTCCTGCTATAGAGAGAGCATAAGATAACAAGCATAGTGACGCACATACCTGATTTGAACACTCCAAGCTTTCCTGCGTATACAGGAGTAGACTCTTCCTACTAAAGAGTTGTACATTTATTTGCAATCTGGGAAGGGAATTGTGTTTGGGCTGGGGAAGGGCGTTCAGGAATTAGTGAATGGCTTTCTAAAACATGTTTGCCAAGAGCTACTTCTGCTAAAGGTCTGAAATTACGTGTTGGGCCCAAGAAAGTGCTCACTCCTAATCTCTTGAACACAATATAAGCCGGTCCCTTTTATGCAAATACAGGTCTCTTGCCAGAATCTGGCACAACCGGACTGGTCAGCTACCTTTACAGTGGACGCCTAACTGAAATCAAAATAGTCTCTGCTGCTATACGTGCTCTTACCTTGCTTGTCAGCCGTCATAATACCCTAATACACACATCTCTACAGTGCAAGTGCTAGGTTTACCGTGAAGTGTCTGTCCATACCTCAGTTGAGAAAGTATGGAATAAAATTGAGCTTTTTTTCTGTCATCTGGTAGGTATTTGCAAATCCAATTTAGAAGAGCAAGGGCTTGCCACACTCTTCCCCCAGGTTAGAGCACCGGGACTTCTTGTGTTCCTGGACAGTGTCTCCAGCACTGCCGTTTTAATGACCTTGAGAGCTATGAGTAAGCAGACTGAGTTCATACAGCTGTCCTCATAATCTACATGATAATGCTTCCAAACAAATTGCTAGCTACTAAAGTACAGCATGCGCCTCAAAAATGCACTCATCGAAATATCATCGTGGTTATCATGTTCTGAAAGCTCACTAGACTATATATGCCCCAGCTACTTCCATGGTCAGCTGTACGAGGTAACTGCCCAGTTACTTCACTACCTGAACAATAAAAAAGGGAGTGAGGGATCCCACCAGGCAGGATCTCTACTTTTATGTCTGAGTTGTGGAGTTTGTGTGGCTTCGGAAATGAGCCTCAAAACTGAGCAACTCACTTGTTGCTGTGCTTGCAAAGAATTTTGAAATTCTTATCCTAAGCCCCATTCTGTCAAACTGTGCGCTGCTTGGTTGCTTACCTCCTTTTCATATTACTACCTGTTATGTCTTTTGTAGTAAGTGGTGTAAATTCTGTGCAGGGCTAAAACCAGACACAGACTAGGTAATTACATGGTGGCAGCTAGTCTGCACCACCAAACACTCT